TTCCAAATGATTTTTATAGTAAACTTCTGCCCAGACTGGTTTTTAGTGTTCTTACTAGTGGACTTGGGAAGCGGAACTGCCTGACTTACGTGGGTGCGGAATGGCTGTCAGCAGTGGCTTCTCTGGGAGGGTAACCCTGGGGCCTGCAGTGATGTCTGGAGGCCCCTTGTTCCCCACCACCCAGTCCAGAGCTCTTCCTCAGTCTCCTGGGAGGGCCTCTGCCGTGGCTGATGGAGCCTCCCAAGCATCCATCCCCCTCCTGCTCCCAAGGGGGCTTACCTGTCCTGGCTGGTTCCCTAATCTGCTGGGAGGGGCTGTGATAGGCACGGTCTGTTCAGTGGAGTAGGGTGTTGGAGGAGAGATGTTCCTTGGCAGCCTCTGAGAGGACCGAGAATGAGGGCCTTCCTTCCCTGCCTCTGTTTCCCCAGATCCTGGCAGATGGGCCCCTGCTCCCCACCTCGCACTGCACTCTCGCCCAGGCCTGAGCTGGGAGTGGTAGGGAGACGCAAGGCAGAGGCCAGCTCTGGACCCTCCTCCTGGGAAATGGCCACAAGAACCCTTTGAGGTTCTGAGAACTCTGGGCTGGGCACACACTGGGCACTTTTTGGAGAAGGCTGTCCTTATTTCGTCAGCCATGGATGCCAGTCTCCAGGGTGTCCTTTCCGGCAGTCCCTATGAGGATGCTGTCAGGACCACGCTAGCTGCAGTCCACCCCAGCCCCCTGACTGTGCCTGAGGCAGCCTCAGAAGGGCCTGAAACTGTGACCCAGAGCCACCCGCGGCAGGAGGAAGACCCGTGGAAGCACCCAGCTCCCTCCTCCTGTGTAAGTCAACATAAAACAAGATATGCTGGGGAGGCAAGACCTTAGGTGCTGACTGTTGGTGTACAAAGCGCTGTGTCATGTCTGCCTGGGACCATGGGGGCCCCGGTGGCTCTGCTCAGAGCCCAGTCAGGACACGCAGCAGGCAGGTCTGGGCTGTTGAGAGGCTTGGCCGGGGCCCTGCGGCTCCCAGGGCGGCAGGCGGCAGGCCCCATGGGGCCATGGCAGTGTCCTGCGGTTCCCCACTTCACATTTATAGCTGCAGGCTTCTCAGTTTACTGTCCCTGGCGGAGGCCTGGCTCTCTGCACCGCAGCTGTGGTGAGCTGGGTGCCTGCCTGAGCGCTGAGCTGAGGGAGGCTCCGAAGTTTCCCAGGAACCCCCGCCCAGGGCTGGCCCTGCTCTCTGGAGGAGCTGCTGGATGTGGAGGGTCCCCCGGCACCCCTGCCACACGGGCCTCCATGAGCAGCGGGAACCTTGCCAGAGAGTGGGTGTCGCAGGGGTCTCTGGGACAGGGAGCTGATGGAGCGGGTGAGGGTGAGGGTGAGATTGGAGAGGGGCTTACAGCCAGGGCTGGGTGCCTGGGGGTTGCTACTTGATAAGCAAACAGGAAACATCCAGCTGCTGTTCTGCAATGTGAATCCCTTACCCTGTGGGGTTTCCCATGCAGCCCCATGCCAGAGCGGCCTCCCCAGCCTCGTGGTGCTCCTCTCAGCAGATGGATGTGTCTCTGTTCAGCACGCAGGGTCCGAGGCTGGGAGAGGTTAGGGAGGGAAGCAAGTTGTCTGAACGCTGGCAGCCTCGGTGGAGCCTGGAGCAGGACCATGAGCCTGACTCCAAAGCCTGTGCCAAGTGGACCCCAACTTTTGTTGAACTGGGGACTGGGGTCCTGCTGGTTTGCCAGAGCCCTGCGAGGAGCAGGGCCTGGCTCCTGGGCACCCAGTGGCAATCTGCCTACTTTGACTCAGTTTTGGGGTGTACAGATGGACTCCTCTCCTACCCTCCCCACCTGGCCCTGGCTCTGCCTGCTCTTTGGGAACTCTGGGACTAGAAGAGCAGGTCTGAGAGGGAGGGAGTCTGGGGCCAGGCATGAGACAGGCCTCTGGGCGTCTGGAAGCTCACACCCTGCAATCGAGGGAAACCCCAGAGAGCAAACAGGGGAGGGGTGGGGGCAGGTAGGGCCATGATTACTGGGTGGGGTGTGGAGGCACCCATGGGAGGGGGGCTGGGCCCACCTTGGGGAGGTGAGGCAGGAGGGCAGATACCTAAAAACGGAGCTGATGTTCATATAAATAGAATACCTGTTGGGTGTGTTTCCTCTTCAAGTTGGGATTTATTTCAGGGTTCCCTTCCTCAGCAAACAACCAGCGTGCCAGTCCGTGGTGGTTTCAGCCTGGCGACACGGGCGGCTGACCAGTCAGGTCAGGTGCCCTTCCTCTGGTGTCAGATGCAAAGGGCAATCCAGTTCTGCCTTTACTGACTGCCCGTGGGGGCCTGGTCTGTGCTGAATGGGTCACGGGAAGAAGCAGGTCCTGTCCCTGCCCCCGAGGGTGAGGCAGGCCTCCTCCAGATTGTACAGGGGGGACAGGTTAACTCGGCCCTTGCCAACCAGGAAAGGCTCCAGGGTCTTGTGTAATCAGAGCTTTGAAGGATGAATATGAGTTTTTCAGAGTCTCCTTTATTTCTTATAACAAACAGTAAGCCCCTACTATGTGCTGGGTGTCAAACTCGGAACAGAGAGACAGGCCACGGGCCCTGCCCTGAGAAGTCCAGCAGGACAGTCATGTGAGTGGTGACAACAATGTCTTAAATGTTAAAATAGAAGTGAGTGTAAGATGCATCAGGGGTCGGGGAGGGACCATCCATTCTTTGTGGGGACATAAGAACAGGGGCTGGCTTGTCCTGGGCGTGGCTGAGGCCAGGGGAGCTGTGTGCAGCAGGAGAGTTGTGCTAAGAAATAGGTACTTGGGCCTGGCCGCCCTGGCTCAGTGGTTGAGCATCGACCCATGAACCAAGAGGTCACAGTTTGATTACCAAGAAGTCATGGTTTGATTCCTGGTCAGGGCTCATGCCTGGGTTGCAGGCTTGATCCCCAGTGTGGGGCGTGCAGAAGGCAGCCAATCAATGATTCTCTCTCATCATTGATGTTTCTATCTCTCTCCTCCTTCCTCTCTGAAATCAATAAAAATATATTTTTAAAAAAGAAATAGGCACTTGGATTGGGCTTTCTTAGGTCCAACTGCTTAGCGCGTTGCCCCAGCAGCCAAGTGTGTGGGACTGGTGTTTTCAGTCCAGTTGTCCGTGGATGAGCCGTGTGCTTTGAACAATGGGATTCCAGCTCCTACTCCTTCGCGTACAAGCTGGGTGGCCTTGAGCCCCCCGCTTCACCTCTCTGAGCTCCATGTGCTCATGGTAACAGTGGTCACACCAACTCGGCATGAGTGATGTGAGTAAATGAGACGTGTGCACAAGGTCTCCTGCAGTTTGCTGATAAAGAGACGCTGTTCTCTCTCCTCCACAGGAGGCAGGACTGGTCGTGGGAGAGCCCCTGGAGGAAGGGACGGTGGTCTATACACCCAAGCCCACCCTTGCTGTCAGGGGTATCTTTATGCGGAGAGGTGGTGTTCTCTGGTGGGTCCCTGAACAGGGAGGGGTGTACCCCAATGGGAGGGTTGCCTGCCTTGACCCAGGCCTGGTTGTCACAGGGGCTGTCTGCGTAAGCCTGGCTCCTCTGTCTTTTTCTCTTCTGAATTTGGGCAATGCCAGCCTGTCTGTGACAAGTGTACCCCAACAGCCAGGACTTGGCTCATCTGACCCCAGTTAGTTGGGGAGGAGGCCGAGGCTCTGAGATGGGACTGACCCGGGAGGCTGGCCTGCTCCAGGGATGGCGCTTCCTCTGATCTCCAGACCCCCACTCCGCAGGGCAAAGCTGCAGCACCCCAACTGTTCACAGCACCGGTGGTCTCCTCGAGCGCCGGTGCTGACTTGGCCTTGATGCAGGCTGCCCAGGAGGACCGCCAACAAGATGGGCCTTGCGAAAGGCCCGTTACCTGCCAGTGCTCGGCATCCAAAATAGAATCTCGCGCGGCAAAGCCTTTAATTCCACGTGTCCCAACAGCAGGTCAGTGTAGGGATAACTATGATCTAACTGGTCTCGAGCTATAATTACGGAGTCAGGATAAAAAATTACAGGCATTGTGTGGGCTTGTTTTAAATATAACGTAATCCATACCGTCCTCTCTCTTATTTGCTAGACTTGAGGTGGAGTCTTTGGTGGTTGGCACAGGTTTTGCCTGACGTGTAGCAGATAAACATGGCCCTTGCCAAGTGGAAAGGACACAGCGGGAGGCCTCCCTGGACCCCTGACGCTCCTGACTGCCCACAGCCCACAGCCCACACGCGTCTGGGCAGTCTCTTTGTTGTTCACATCATCTGCATGTCGTATCTCCCCAACTGGCCGTCCTCTCTCCAGCCTCCCCCGGCCAGTCCACCAAAAACATCTTTGTAAAACACAGCCTTGATGCTTCATGGCGCCCCTCTGCCTACAGGGTAAATCCAAACCCAAGTCCCTTCATCTCTTGGCCCCAAACCACCTTTCAGCACCTATTTGGGAACAGCAGCTCTGAGGACATGGGACCTGGGGTGGCCCACATGGGTCACACTCAGGCCTCTCGGCTGGTGAGCTGAGTGTGGGTCTGGGCAGGTGACCTTGTCGATGTGACTCAGCTCCTCCACTACGACTACAGGCTGTCGTGAGGGTGGAATGAGGTCACACACTCCTATGGTGACCCTAGGCATGTCCCTTTCCCTCACCAAGTCTCCGTTCACCTGGTAAAAGGAATCAATAGTCTAATTGCCTTTCAAATTGGTAAATGTTTTTAAAGTGGTATTTTTTGGTGTAGTTGGTTGTGTTGTAAGGTGGGCAAGCATTAGTTCAGCCTCTGGGAAACAAAGTAGAAATACACACGCAAAACATGCTTATATCATAGGAGTAGGAATCGAACCTAACGGAAAAGTCAAACTGTGGACAAAGATGTATGTTTAAAAGATGTTTACTTCAATGTGTCTTTATGCTCTCGAAGAACTGAAAATATAAAATGCCCAATATTTAGGTAACAGTAAGTATTCATGGTGTATCCACTCAAAACACACTTAGGCACTCATTAGAAGTGTTTATAAAGAACATTTTTATGTTGAAAATGCTTATATTTAAAGAAAACAGATACAAATTATATGTGTTTTTATGATAATAAAAACATACACGACCACAGGAAAAAAGTTGAGGTGGAAATATAGCAGCAGTTATCTTTGGTGACCTTACAGGGTTATATATTTTCGTCTTGTTTTCTGTATTTCCAAATATTTTAGAATAGGCATGCACTACTTTATAATCATTTTTAAAAGAGATGAGTGTTAAAAATGGTCTAAATAAAATGAGAAGCTAGAACTCGATGTCTGAGTTTCTAGCTTTTAACGGCCTCCAATTGCAAGGTCCACGGTGTCTGAGAGGTGACAGTGGAGACCGCCTGCCTCAGTGACGCGCAGCAGGTCCAGTGCCCGGAGTCGGCAACTCGCCGGCCACAGGCTCCCACGTGCATCTGCGCCGACTTCCCGCGAGGTCAGCTGCCTTTCTGAAGTCTTCCTGAAATCTCCCCAGGTGCCTGGGAACCTTCAACGCCGCTGGAAGTGGGCAGTGCGCCAGCCCGCTCTGTCCCTGCCGCACCATGGAGTGCTGGTGGCCGCGCATCCACTGCATCCACCGGGACAAGTGGATTTCGCCTGAGAAGGGAGCTCTTTCTGCCACCTCAGGCCAGGGGCTCGGAGCGGGAAGAGAGGCTGAGCTGCGGTCACCGCTGTGGGCCCCTCTGCTATCCACATCTGGACTTTGGGGACCCACATCCCCCACTGCCAGGACAAGCAGGTCCATTTGTTCTGAAGGTGGAGAGCTGGGAACACTTCATTGGAGGGGGTCACTGAGGGACAGCCTGGTCACTCCCGCCATTTCTCGGGAGATCAGCCCAGATGAGGCCACCTGGAGAGATAAAAGGGGTTCTTGAAGAGCCCCCGGAGGAAGAAAGGGGCCCATATGAGTTCGGTGGGGGAGAGAGGCCCTCTAGGCCAGGGGTCTAGCCAGCAGCTTGTCAGGGCCTGTCCAGGACCGCCACGAACCAGCCACGTGCCTGCCCAGTTAGAAACCAGAGGAAGTCCCCGAATCAGAAGCTGAAAGACCATGGCGGACAGACAGGCTTAGAGAGAGAGCACGAGATGACACACAGCAAGGGCAGAGGTGGGGAGAGGGACAGGCTGAGGCCCAGCGCGGGCAGGGAGGCCATCCCAGGAGTGAACTCCCAGGAGACCAGCGCCCAGAACACTCATCCTGGCTGCAATCAGGGAATCGCAATTAGAGGAGCCGGTGTGCCACTTTACGCCTACTAAATTAGCACCCATTAACCAAATGATACCGTCTCAGCTGCCAGGCTGTGGTAAAACCAGCTTAAACACACCGCCCATGGCCCTGTAAATTAGCTTGGCCTTTTAGGCAAGAAATTGGGCAATACGGCTCCAGGGCTATTAAAATGCTCCTCTCTCATTCTGTGGTAATTCCACTTCTTGGAATGTGTTGCGAGGAAATAATTCAACAGAAAAATGACAGGCTTGTCCATCAGAGATGATGAGCGCAGTGTTATCCGTTATGGTCAATAGGCGCCGGGAATGTGTTTAAAATAGGGAATATGAAGGCTAAATAATAGCATTTAAGGATCCTTATGATATGTGCAAAAAGCAGACAATAACACTATCCGTATGAAATTGACAATGACACAAAACAGCCGCCTGGATGCCCGGCAGCCCCGCCCTTGCTGGTGACCGGTGGTCCTTGGCGCCCGCTGGCCACACAGACACTCCTGTCTTCCCTAGGGGCCTCCCTGCCGCTCCCCGTCTGGAGCTCTCTAACCAAGAGGCCTAACCCACAGACCTCAGACTGGTGGGGAGACAGTCCTGGCCAAGCCTGCCCACCTAGGCAGCTGCCCTGGGGTCCTGAGGCGTCTGGGTGATGTCCGCTGGGTCACTCCAATGTCACACCTCACGGAGCCAAACCAGAACAGACGCGGTGGAGTCGGGTCCTCCTTTAAGAAAAGGGATAAAGTGATGTTTCAGGCTTTGAAATGTCTTGCTATTTGGGAGCACAGCACTCTGTGTAAGCCAGCTGAAGTCTGGGCTCCCAGCTGGGGCATCCTGGGGTGAAGGCACTTTAGAACAGACTGCAGGCAGAGGAAGGAGTCGTGGGGCTCCCCTCCTGGCCTGCTCCCCAGGAGGCACAGCTGGGATTCTGAACTTGAACCACCAGTTCTCCCTCTTCCCCTCATTTCTAGTGGCCGTCCCCGCAGTGGCAGTGACTGAGAACTCACTAACTCGAGGGTGAATGACAAGGGAAGAGACCACATGGGGCATGAATGAGCATGTGTCACCAAACAATGCTTATTCAAAGCCTGTCTGGCTCTCCAAACATGCCCTTAATGGTGCTCCAGAGGAACCACGTCCCTGCCTCACAGGGGCTGAGGACATTCAGTGGCCAGGCCCGTGTCCAGACAAGCCTAACCTTGTTCATTCAATCCATGCAAGGGACTGAACACAGAGGCTTCATCATGGTCCCTGCCCTTGACGTGCTTTCAGTCTCAGGGAGAGGCAGGAGTAAACAAGGAAGAATAATTCAAGGAGCGACCACGTGGGTGCTGTGAAGAGGTTGCAGCGCTGGGGAGTGAGAACACCCAGGAAGTGGGCTCAGGATGGGGTGGAGGGCCCAGCAAGGCTCCCTGGGGAGGTAGAAATGGAGCAGGGCCTGGAGAACAGCAGGATTTTACCTGGAAGAAGGAACATCAGGGGCCAGGGGCAAGTGCAGGAGTCCGCCTCAGCCTCCCCAGCTTCTCACCTGGGGGCCTGCCAACGACCCATCCTGCCCAGACCTCTGAGGAGAGTGCAGTGGTGGTCTCAGCCTGATTCAAAGGGCGGAGGGTACTGAAACTGACCATGACCGTTCATTCATTCCTTAGTTTGCTCGTATCACAAACACTTACTGCACACCTGCTCTGTGCTGGGCACTCTTGCAGGTTCTGGGGGATACAGTGACGAGTCAAGGTCTGTGCCCTTCCAATGGGGAAAATAGACAACAGACAAGTGACAAAATAAATTCACACTGGAGAAATATATAATAGTGGATAAGAGTGATGAAGGTGGGGGAGTAGGAGGGGGTATTTAATCAGTAAAATCAATATCTGATTTAACATCTAAATGATGTGAAGAGGCAAACATCATTAAAAGAATCTGGGGGAGAGCATTCTAGGCAGCACACATGGAAAGTGCAAACACAGGGATAAACTTGGCCTATTTAATGATTAGCATGAAGGCCAGCAAGGTGGAGAAGGCATCAGGGGCTGGTGGGGTGGAGGGACAGGAGACTGGGCCGCAGGGCCGGCGCATGGGAACCACCGGAGGAGAGCATTTCAAGGAAAGGATGGCTCCCAGTTTCAAATGCTACAGAAGGGTCGGCGAGGACGGGGCTGAGAAGAGGCCACTGGAGTTAAGACTGGGCACAGTAGGAATAGACCTTGGGAAGGACAGCTTTGGTGCAGCGAGGCTGCAGGGGTAGACAATGACATCAGGTGGGGAAGCTTAAGCAGCAAGGGCAGACAGCTCTTGGAGGAAGTCTGGGAGAGAATAAAATAAGATGAAGCATGGCTTAGGGGTAGGATAGGGTTGGATGGGGAAGAGGGAGTCCAGGCTGGGAACAGGGGAGATGTAGCAGGAGAGGGAGAGGTGCCCCACGGACTTCCCACTTCTTTCTTCTCCTTTCCCCACTCAGACCTCAGGCTTCCTGCGCCCTCCTGCCCAACAGGCATCTCTTCCCCAGTGGTGGCCTGGCCTCCACCTGTCCTTGCTCAGGGAGACAGCGCACTACTGCACGGCGGGCAGGCAGCCTCGTCCATCGTGGGGCTGGCTCCACGGTTAGAAAAGCTTTCCTTGGAGGTCGGACACAGACGTGGCACAGTGTTGGGACTTCAATGGGGCTGGGCTTTCTGTGTTTGGCTATAGATCTCATAATACGTTTAAGAAAATCTTCCTTCTGCTGAGCCCAAATGCACCTCCTTGTAGCTTTTTACCCTTTGATTCTTGTCCTGCTCTTGAGGCTTCCTTCAGACAGCGGAGGGCAGTGGGCCCACCTTGTTTTCCTGTCTCAGGCTTTAACATCCCTGCTCTTTTGGGGTCTCCAGGATTTCTCCTGAACACCCTGCAGCCTCACTAGCCTTTAACATAGATACATTACTAGGGGAACAGCTACCTATTCCTCTCCTACCAGCAGACGAGTGGTTAAGAGCCAGCCTGGGTTTGAATCCTGGCTCTGCTCCTCCCTAACAGGTAACCCTGGATAAGACACTTCTCTCTGCCCCAAGGTCCCGCGGATGCGTGGATTAGAATGTAGTGCTTCCAACAGTGTCCAGGGGAAAGTCAGTGCTCGGTGCATGTTTACTGCTCGCAGGTGTCAAAGCTCCTTTTGGAAGGGAATATAAAGCACAGGAGTTCCCCTAAACCAGCGGATCTCAACCTGTGGGTCGCGACCCCTTTGGGGGTCAAACGACCCTTTCACAGGGGTCGCCTAAGTACATCCTGCATATCAGTTATTTACATTACGATTCATAACAGTAGCAAAATTACAGTTATGAAGTAGCAACGAAAATAATTTTATGGTTGGGGGTCACCACAACATGAGGAACTGTATTAAAGGGTCGCGGCATTAGGAAGGTTGAGAACCACTGCGCCTAAACCGACGTGGGCATGCCACGTGGAAATGCTTCGATGTCCCCAGAGGAACCAGCATGGCCAGGGCCCGCTCCTGAATCAGAGGAAGCTGGTCTGAGAAAAACAAGGCCCGGGAAGCACCCCCGGGGTGTTTGAAAGTCAGAGACCAGAACCTAGTCCGGGACGGAGAATGCAAAGTGGCCGCAGCAAAGCCATCTGGAGAGTCCCCTCAGAAGCTGTCATTCCTGCGGGCAAGTGAGCGGGATCTTCTGTCAACAACTGTCCCCTCGGGCCTCTGTCCTGCTTGGCACTCGGCCTAGGTTTCTGGTCGTCCAAGAATCAGCCTTCACTGCTGTGCAAGGGTGGTCTGACCTCTGCTGTCCACTGAGTGTCATGGCACCAACGTGAAGACGGCCATGAGACCTCAGACATGCACTTTCTCCAACTGTTTTGACAGTGCCTCCCAGTATGAATATATTTCACACGGTAACTGTACACGAAGTTCCCACAAAGCCATTCTTATCTTTAATGTGTGTGAGCACTCTGATAGACTCTACATTTTTCTATTTTATTTCAATAATAAGAAAAATGCTGATTGCAACCCACAGAATTGGTGTCACAGCCCCAGATTTTCTCCTGAAGTTCACGAGACATTACTGAGTTGGTTCCCTAGTTCCCCAACTCCAGTCAGTGTGCACCATGTCCCTGTCACACCTTCGGCCACACTGAAGGCTAACTGCTCATGTTTTCTTTAAACCAGTGCACCGAAACATTGTTAAACACCCACTAGAGCAGCGGTTCTCAACCTGTGGGTCGCGACCCCTTTGGCGGTCGAACGACCCTTTCACAGGGGTCGCCTAAGACCATCCTGCATATCAGATATTTACATTATGATTCATAACAGTAGCAACATTACAGTTATGAAGTAGCAATGAAAATAATTTTATGGTTGGGTCACAACATAAGTAACTGTATTTAAAGGGCCAGAAGGTTGAGAACCACTGCACGAGAGCGTAAGTAAAATAGTGGTGAAATTACACATTTGAGGGCTAGCTGCATTTCCCCCCCAATACACACTGAATAAATATTCAGTGACCGACAAGGTGCTCTCACTCTGGGCCTCAGCTTTCTCATTAAGTAAAACAAAGATATTAGAATAGATTGATGGTTTTCAAAGGTTTTATTTTAGCATCCGGGCCCTTTTGCAAATGAATTCTCATTATCAGGCAAATAGCAGGCCAGCTCCACAAAGGACAAAGCTCTGATCAGCCCTCTGAAACCAACAGATATGAAGGTGAGTAAAAACATCCAGGACAATGTCCCCTAGGGATCTGCAAAGACAGAGGTTTTTTGCAGACCAGGGCAGGTTCTCATATCCTCCAGGCCTTGATCAGATCTCAGCTCTAAGGAATTCAAACCTCTTCACAGTGGTGCACAGGAAAGAATAAAGCTCACGGCAAGCCAGAGTACATTCGTACTGAAACATGTGTTCACAAAACACCTTTATACTGTAAAAGAAAATACTGCCCTACACTTGGGCTGGGTCAGGGATGTTTTGGGGATGTAATCCACAAACCTCTTCTTGGGAATCAAATATATTTCTGACAAAATGCTTAAGCAATTTTCTGGTGAATTTTCATGGTAATAAGACCTCTGAGAAATCAGTTACCTATGTGCTCAGCTTTGGGAGGGACCCAACGGCCTTTATCTGTCTTTCAATAAATCTAATAATTCTTAACCAGAACTTTTTTCTTATCTAACCATTCTCTTTTCCTATACAATGTCCTTCCCAATAGGTACTTGTTGAATTGACCAGGTAGAAGCCTCTTCCTTTGCCATGAGATTGAAATAAGGTCAGGAGGGTGGAAAGACCCAGGTGCTTAGCAACAGACAATCCATTGTAGGGTGGGACCTCGCCCCCAGGGTGACCTTTCCTCCCCTAGCATATAGCTGGACCCCATGACCTTTCCTCCCTAGAGATAACATCTAGGCCTCAGTTGTACTTCAGCTCCAGGCCCAGAAAAGCAACAAAACCAGCCACTGCTGACCTCAGGACCAGCTGCGTGGAATAATGACCCCCTGCCCTGGTGCCGGCCAATCAATCAATAGAGACCACAACCCTGAATGGACATACCTGGAAAGCTACTGGATATTCTATTGAAATCTTCCCCTGGAACCTCCTCTAAAATCTCCAGCCTTAAAACCCTTAGGACAGAGGACCCAGTGGGCTCTGCTTCGCAGGGGCACACCCCCACCTTTTCCTTCTCCTTCCCTTCCCCTCCACACCCAGGCACCTTACCATTAGCTCCCTCACTCCCAAGCGCCTTCCTTT